AATTTCATCTCCACAACTAATTCTTGGCAGTATCACTGAGACAATTAGGTTATGGCCTTTTCTTTAAATGCCTTTATCAACCCCTTGTACTTATTAATTAGCTCCTCTGACCAACTTTTCCCTACATCATTAGCCCCTACATGCACTACTAAAACTGCATCTCTGCTAGCCCCCTTTATTTTATCTCCTGCTCTGTAAGTTATATCCTCCACCTGTGCCCCTAGGTAGCATAATCTGAATCTTTTCTTCCTATTTACTCCACAGACTATCCTATCTACATGCCTTGTCAAGGAATCACCTGTTATTAACAAACAAGCAGATTTGCAACATACCTATAACTATAACCTTCCTATCATCTATATCCTTCTCTTCCAATAGTTCCTCATCAGCAGAAGCCATGGGCTGAAATCTGTTGCTCAATAGAATTGGCTCCTTACAATTAAATCCATTACTTTTAGCCCTATTAGTGCTCTTTATAACTTCATGAAAGTCATTGTTAGTTCATGTATCCCTTGCATGTACAAGCTTAAACTCCTCTTGCTGCCATTTCTCAAAGTTTACATTCCTCTTTATCTATTGCCTCTACTTTAATTAGGTAGCCTCTAACTTACAAGAATACTAGCTTCTTTAAAAATATGTACCAGTCAAGAGTTCCCAAATAAAAACCACATTTAGAATAGTAAGTTAAAACTACACTTCTCCTACTTATACAGAATAATGATATAATGCAGTTCTTCATGGAAAGCTTTTAAAACATAATTTATATTAACAATGAAATATTTGTAAATATTCTTTATAAGCATATTCTTCAATTATTGAAAAATATGTTAATATTTTTGTTGTTAATTTTCATATACAAGGAACATCTTGATTTTAATTGCATATACTTTTCATCATATAACATTAGAATTGTTATTGTGGTACAGTTTTTTGGTTATGTGTACCATTAAAAGTAATTTTTATTCAATATATTTTTAAGCCTAAAATTATTTAATGAAAGGATTAAGATAGTAGCCTTTTTCTGTTTGTACAAAATTTTATAAATAATCTTCATCTTATTATTTCATTCATGTATATTTTTACCAAAGGTTTGAAAGGGTTTGCTCGTCTGTGTCCTGGAGATGTGTATGAACTTACCATCAGATATGGCCACCAGAAATGGAAGTCCAAATGTCAGATTCTCAAGGATGCCCAACAATCCTGGGAGAATAGCAAAATAACTTTAAAATCTCTTTTGGGTGAACATTTGTACATCAAGGTATGAAAACTGAAGAATGTAGATGGTAATGGAGTTATAAATAAACCACTGTGAATGGTAGGATTGTTTATCTATTGTCCAAGACTTATAAAATAGTGGGGAAATGTTGTAACACAACACTAAGTTATTTGAGACTGCTTCCTTTTGCTATAACTGGCAATATGCTGTGATACAGCACTAATGATTGTTTTTTCTTGTTATTGGTGGTAATAATGCTACATATAGTTTTTGAGGAAGCCATAAGATGAAATACTGGACAATAAACAAGGTTTTGTCAGTAGGAAGAGCTCTAATGTGTAATTCACTGTATTAAACATGTGAAATGAATATTCATTAAAATTAGTTGAGAATAAAAAAAGGTATTACAAATATATTCAAGTACAAATAAATCTTAAAAATTATGTTTTATCTGTTATATTTATAGGTATTATAGATATTATTTGTTTTTCTTTTTTTGTTTTAGACAGCAGAATTAAAAGGACTCAGAAAAATTGTTCCTTTGGGTGAGAAGTGCTGTGAAGCTAGTGATCTCTTTAGTGCAAATCCACAGTTAATGACAGTTAATCTCAACATCAGTGGCACAATCAAATTGAACATGCTGGTTACATGGAGGTTTGGTACATTTTGTACAGGTTTAAACATTCTAATAGTATGGTGGACCAATGGTAACTGTAAGGCATAATTTTTTGTTGAATATTCTAACTGCATGAATTGTAAAATATTTTTTATATAGAACATTGTAGTTGTATGGATGTACTATAAAATATATTTTTCAGTTGAACAATATCATAATTGTGTTTAACATTTCAATTTTATGGATTTATATACTGTAAGACATTTTTTTGTGTTGAGAATTTTTCATCAAATGTAATTGTTGTAATTCTTGATTACAGTTTTCAAAAAAACAGCCATTTATTTTATGGTGGCTGATAGCTTGTAAGCTTTTGGCTTGAAAGTCTTCATCAATTTTAATGACTTTTTGGCTCAAGGGTTTTTTTTTGTAACCATTGCATTCACATTGCAAGTGAGAGTTACAGTGCCTTAAAAAAATAGTCATCCCCCCCCTGCAAAGTTTCCACATTTTGTTGCCATCTGAGCTTGCAATCATGAAACTTTCATATGGGACGTTACATGTAGAATCTACACAATCTACTCCAAACTGAGAAAGCTATAGAAATGCTGATATTATAAAAGTAAGTTAGATTTTCAAAGAAAATTAGAATATCCTCAATTGCATAAGTATTCAACCCCTTTGCTACAGCAACCCTAAATCAATTCAGATTCAAAAGATTAGTTTCAAAGGTTACAAAATTAGTGTAATGGTCTCTGTCTGTGTGTAATCAAAGTTGTTTAACTTGACTTCGAAGTAAATGCATCTGTTCAAGCTACAACTCACATAAAGACCAAGTAGCTTTCCAAGCAAGTCAGGGATAAAGTGGTAGAGAAACACAGATCAGGAGAAGGTTACAAGAAAATTTCAAAGTTGTTAACTATTTCACTTTGAGTATGGTGAACTTCATCATTAAAAAGTTGAATGTGTTTCATAACACCCAGATGCTACCCAAATCAGGCTGCCCTTCCAAATTAAGCAGTTGGGCAAGCAGAAAACTAGTTAGGGATGCCACTGTGAAGCCAGCAGTGACTTTGAAAGATTTCCAAAGTTCCATGTCTGAGATGGGAGTCAGTGTTCATACATCAACAGTATCCCAGTCCCTACACAAAGCTGACCTGTATGGGCGAGTGGCAAGAAAGAAGCCATTACTGGAAAAGAATAATCTTAAATCTCATATGGAGTTTGTATATAAGTGTAAATGATACTGCAGACATGTGGCACAATGTTTTGTGGTCAGATGAGACAAACATTGAGTTTTTTGGTCTAAATTCAAAACGTTATGTCTGGTGGCAAGCTCAATACAGTACATCACCCAGTCAACACCATCCCAACTTTCAAGCATGATGGTGGTAGCATCATGTTATGAGGATGCTTCTCATCAACAGGGACTGGGAAGCTTGTTAGAGTTGAGGGGAAGATGGGTGGTGCAAGTACAGGCGAATCCTAGAGGAAAACCTGATTGAGTCAGCCAAGAATCTAAAACTGGGTCGAAATTTTACATTTCAGAAGGACAATGACCCAAAGCACAAGGCCAAAGCCATATTGGAGTGTTTTCAAAAGAAGAAAGTGAATGTCTTGGAATGGGCCCAGTCAAAGTCCTAACTTTAATCCAATAGAAAATTTATGGTGAGACTTGAAGATTGCAGTCTATCAACGAACCACAACAAACTTGTCAGAATTAGAGCAATTTTACCAGGAAGAATGGGCAAAAATTACACCATCCCATTGTGCAAAGCTGGTAGACCTATCCAAAAAAACTCACAGCAGTAATTGCTGCCAAATGTGCTTCTACTAAGTACTGACTTAGGGTGCAATCAGCAAATTCCAATTTAAATATTTTCTTTGCAGGTTTTGCTGACATTCAATCTCTTTCACACATAACAGTTTTAAGTTTAATCATTAGAGTTCTGCATGAAAAGAATTTCATTAAACAAATTGTTTATATAGTTTGTATTTCATCAGAATGTGACATTATTGGTAAGGGATGAATACTTTTGCAAGGCACTGTATGCTCTGAATTGGCTTGGAGTTTACTTTGAAGCCTGTTTCTGTCCTAAATGTTCTGCTGTATGTATTTTCTACTGTCATAGAGAACAACGTTGTGACCATTTAACAATCTTGCTAAACAAATATCCTTTCTTAGAAAGGTTTGTGAGATATTCTTCCATTTATAAATTTGCCATGGACCAAATACAGAGGAGTGAGTACATTTCATCAAAATGACTTTGAATATGTAAATCAGCTAATCACATGACAACCATAACTAATATAAAGTTGTGGTGGAACAGAATGTATCAGAACTACATTTTGATATTGTTTGGCATTTCATAGGTAGTGCAATGTGGTTGAAAATTGATTGCTTTTGGGAAAGATTTGTATTCATAAAGATGTATTCAGATTGAAAATTTAGAATTTTTATGATGGCAATATTCCTTATACTTAATAGTATTGGAAAAAAAAAAAATATTGTTCAACTTGGGACATGTAACCAGGTCCATCCAGAGAGAGAGACTTACAACAAATCATATCTAATCTATGACAATCAAGGTGCAATATTTTGTAACAGATAAAAAGCCATGTACACAAAGGTCAGTGGCAAAAACCATCCACATGTCCCAGGCAATAATATGCAATGCGATCAAGAAGGATCTCCATATGTAAAAACAATGTTGCTTCCACAATATCTTAGTTCAATCTTTGCATACATCAAGCAGCTAGAGAATGAAATAGGTTCTCATGATATTCTATATGGAGTCACTATGATCAAGTTGCCAAATGCAGCACCTATGTGTTTTTGTGCTATCAGGCTGTTGGAAAGCATGCAGAGAGAAGGAGATGTTTTTGACATGACAGCAATAGAAACTACGTTTCAGGACTCTTGTGGAGATGCACACTCGTCAGGTAGAGCATAATCAGATGAAGCAACATGAACTGTAATGACATGGTGAGGCTCCAAAATCATTTTAATATAATATACTCACCTGTGTGTGTGAGCACTACATGTAAACATATTGCTTCTGATACAGAGCTCATATCTTCTGTCAAATCTGTGCATTAACATATGTGAATCATTTTTTGTAAAATGCTACTAACCCTGTGTACATCTCTGTCATTGATAGTGTATGAAATCTCTATCTATGAAAATGAATTAATAAAATGTTTTAAACCTACCTATGATAAGCATTCTATTTTTTTGCAGTCCTAAACTTTTCAACATCAGGTAAACTGCCTCTGTCATTATACATAAAATATTTTAATCTACATTTGTTATTCTTTGTTACAGTCCTTTCCATCATGCTAAACAGACATCAAATGAACAGTTGCCCCTATCCCCTTTCTTTATGGCTGTTCTAGACACGTCTTTCAAGAAAAGAATTCAACCCCAAGACTCTCTTTCAGATGACACATCATCTCTACAATCTGCATCAAAGAACACAATATCTTCCAAAATAAATTCAGTACATGTACGTAGAAGGCTGTTGAAATTTATTAGATTATTAAGGTAAACCCTAAGTATTTAAGTTGGAATGCTGACTTTTTCAGTTCATATCTTCTAGTGTGATGTTACATGTTTCACCAAATTTTATTATGTCCCATTGAAATTTTACCTTTAACTGAATATTCAAAATATTTTTAAACACTATTGTATTCTGGTAAATTTCCATGTTTGAATTATATTCTTTAAGGTGAGATAAAGGAAAAATATATAATTTTGTTAATTTTTTATCATACTTTCAACAAAATTACATGTAACTGTCATCAGATCTCTTTCTTTTACAATGATTGAAATAGATTAAAGTAATACAAACTTCTTTATAAATAAGTAACTTATTGTTTTTTATTTTTATTGTTTGAGAAAAGTATTGTGGAGTGCTGATTTCTCTACATTGTTTATAGAATATTTGCAGTGATTATATTCTATTAATATTAGCTATGTTATTTGATCATTTTTATTTTAATCAAATAATCCCAATGTTCAAAAATGTATTTAAACCTGATATTGGTAACATTCCTAATACCTTGATAATCTAATTTCAGTCTCCTAAACCCAGTGTGAGATCAAAAAAACCAACCAAACTATCAGAAGTGTTTTCTGATGATGTAGATACGAAAAATAAGAACTTGTCACCTCAGTTATCGTCTTATGTTTCCAATGACCACTTTCAAACAGTTAAAACAAAAAAAGCTGGAGAAAATGAAACAACTTTACTATCTTACAATTTTGACCAAATGAAACCTGAAAGCCCAAATTTGGAGAAAATTGAGGCAAATACATCACAGAGATGGTCATGTAGAAAGTTTGATAATATATTTGTACAGAGCATAAGAGATAAAGAAAGTATGTCTTCAGAAATGTCCCATAGCAACTTGGCTCTCCAGTGCTTGTTGCATGACTTGTGTTCCACCCTAGAAGACATTCAAGGCCAGTATGAGGAGCTGGATGGGTTGAAAGAGAATGTTACAAAATTGGAGCAAATACTTGTGGTGAGTATTCCACTGAAATTTCAATCAACAATAACAATATCAGTCTTTCATCCTTGAAACTGGTAGATGTTTAAAGTGTCAATTGGGAAAAAGTGTAAGTTAATTGTGTTGATTTCATTTTAATATTAATCAATATATCAAAATTTATTTTCAGGAGCTATCATGGTTTTCTCAGAATAGCTCCTTTATTGAGAAATAATACCATCCAATATTTCTCTAAACAATAAGTATTTTAGAATTTATCTCTTCAGAGGTTGTGTAATTACATAATTTTTCAATAAAAATATATAACTCATAATTTATATCTACTGTTATGTGTTGTTTTTTGTTGTTGTTCATACTTTTTCTGTAGAAAAATCAGAATGAAAGTAAATTAGATTCAACGGATGCTAGTGATATTTCTGTGAGGAACACCCTTAAAAGTTTCGACTTTCTTGACTCAATTGATGATGGTCAGCAACAAAGGAACAAAAAGGAAATGTAAGTAGCTGTTCATGTTTTTTCTTTTTCATTATTACCATTATTAATACATACTAAAGGAAGATTTTTAACATACAAGCACAATACCCTAATTAATGCAACCATAAATTAGATATACTTACAAAAGTACAAACACAGTGTATTCATATCAAAAAATAAATCTATTACTCTAACACTAGTTGGACAGTAAACAACATATAACTTATGTTGTTACATTAGCATATTTTCTGCTAGATCTACCAGACTTACCATGTCACCTGGTGAATTAATCTTGTATCTTGCATTGAGTAGAAATTCAGAAATATTTTAAGCCAATTTAAAATCCTTAAGAGCAAGAGTTGGAGATAGTGGCTAGTAAGGTTTTACTGAACATTATACAATTGCTGTATTCACGCTATATTTCTCAGCTTCTGAAATGGCAGCAAGAGTTTGAAATGCCAAAAGATGGTAGTAGTTCCATTTACTGTCTATAACCTGTGCTGTTGATTGAACAGTGTGCAGTTAGCAACCAAGTGCATTGTAGACTGTCAGTGAATATTATTATATTGTCAATATATTTTTGCTTTTACTTGCTATCATGTCAAAAGTAGAATATTTTTAATATTATCAGTTATTTTCAACCAAAAGGACTTTTTTATTAGTTGTTATTAAACCTAGTGCACTACTAGTGGGTTTTAGCAGATTTTTAGGACTCATCCAGCAGTTTACTTTTTTTTTAGTTCAGAAAACTGCATACATGTACAACACTTTTACCATTCTTCTAAAGAAGGATATTTACCAGACTTCTTTTATCTGATAGGAAATTTTTCTTCAACAATCTGTTCATCAAGTTGTCTATATTTGGTATCAAACTTTTATAAACTACAATTATATTGGCCTTCATGCATTATTTGCTGTTTGTGTAGTTTTTTCAGCCACAAAAAAATGCCTAATCATTTACTTTGATTCTCACCAGATCTTTTGTAATACTTTTTTTTTGGGTGTTAATTTACAATGTTTTTTATTTTGCACATTTTTCCCTGTCATTCCTGTATCATCACTATATGTCATTGATCTCATTTCTTGCTTCTCTGCCTCTTAACTGAGTCATGCATGGTAACTGAAATAACAACTAATCTCATCCTTTCCTAATTCATTTTGAATATATCAGTAACAAGATATATTCAGATAGTCTTTCTAAATTTATGTGCAGTATTCTGCATGTAATTATAACATTCTTGTTAACCCTACGTCAAAAGGTTGTAAACAAGTGTTGATCCTTTTACTTTGGTAATGGTTACATATAACAATGGTTAGAAGCTTGTACCACTTTGTCCCTATGCCAGTGTCCACTCCCTTAGAGAGAGCCCATCTCAAGGGGTGAGAGAGATACTTGAACAAATTGGTATGAGTTGGGGCTTTCCACCCATGTATATGTTCTTTAGAATAGCTGGTGATATACAAAGCTTGGAATTGTGGTTTACTGTCCTTAGACCCTTTGTTTAGTTTGAGAGTGTGGTATAATATAATTCTTGATCCCTTGTCTGTTGTCCGTTGTTTTATTTATTATCAGCATAACATTTCTGAAATTTGAATTTGCAAACATTTAAATTTATCTGTTGGACACCAGTGCACCCAAATACATATGCAGATGTATAATTTTTGTGATAGAACAAGTGCATTGCTATTTTCTTACAAGACACAGGTCAACTTCATGAAATCCAGTTTTTCTGCCTTTTTTTTTTTCAGCCCAGTACTTTTCCCATTTTGCTGGCTGACATTACTCAGTTAACAGAATGCTTTTAAATTTGTAATCTCCTGTGTTCCTTCAGCTACCACTTTTTTGCTTCATCAAGAACCTCTTATTTTATTTGGAACTTCCCTTTTTTCTGACATTGTTTAGCTGCCAAGCTCATGAAATTTCTTCACTCTTTTCTTTTTGACACAAAATCAACAACATGACTACTTGATTCTATGAGGATGTTTTTCTCTTTGACCATTTTACTCAATCTGAACAGAAAATAACTTTCTCTTTTTAAATTTTCTTTGTTTTCTGATCTGATGTTCTTTACTTTTGCTTATCCCTTTTTGCCTATGTTGTGACTCAGTTGTTTTCAGGGACATTTTCATCATCCTGAGAATTTTTTCTGAGTACCAGCTGTATTTGTCTCTTGATTCATTTGTTACTGCAAACATTTGGCTCAAGAGATGTTTCTGGTTTCTCTATTTCATTTTCCTATGTCTTACCTGCAGAATTTATCTATGGCTCATATTTGGTGAAACTAATTTTTTTTTGCATGTTGATATTCTTTTCCTACTTGATTCTCAAGCTAAATTCTATTACAATCATTTTTCAATGCATACTTTTCCTTCACATTTTGTTTCTAGTAGAATAGGTTAATCTCATCACACTTGAACCTTTCAAAAACCTTCTTGTCCATGTGTTTTGCATCAGGCAGCAGCTTGTGTAATTTGGGGTTATTCCTCTTGAACTCATTAGACACTTTTCTCTCCTTTTGCTCCAACTAATCAGTTAGCTCCCAGTAGATCTTGTTGCATTTGTTCCAAGTACAAATCTGTGGCCAGATGGCTTCAACTGTTTTTTCTCTTTAAATCCTTGAATCTTCTAGATTTTGGTATCTGGATGTATCTTTCCTCTGCTTTGTTGACCATTCTTTATGTTTCAGATGTTCATTAATCTATTCTTTCTTTTCTGTCCAATATCCTTGTTGGACTTTGTTTGACCAGGAGATTTTACAGGGGACTTACCTTCATGATTAGATTTATATATGCTTGTCATTTCTGATAAGACAAGAGACTGGAAAACTATGTTTAATTTGACAGAGTTGAAGTAGTGATTTCCTCCCTGTAGGAACTCACTCCAAAAAAAGCTGTTAGTGATTTCCTCCCTGTAGGAGCTCACTCCAAAAAGCTGGTTTCATATTTTTGATCACTTGTTTTAAACATTCTATTAGTCATTGAACTTGTCATGTCTTTTAAGATATTATAAATCCAATTGCACATTAGTTATCTCTTTCTATTTTTGATAACATTACCATATAGTTAGAATGGTGAAAGCCCTTTGTGACATTTCACTGGGTTGTGGGACTGACTCTTGGTGTGTTGCTTTAATATTGTACCTAGCATTCCTTAATTACTTCTTCTCTTCTATGGGTGTTTTGGACCTTAAACTTGTGACACCTCTTCATCTGTCTCCCCTCTAAACTGTTGAGATGACTGCATGTTGGACTGTACATGCATTTCCACAAGATTTATCACATGTTTCATTATTTTTGCATCTAGCTCTCAAATGGTTTTGTTGACTTGTACATGGATTCATCCTCTGTATTTGAATTGTGTCTTCTATAATTGATGTGAACATTGCCTCTTGTTCTCTTTCAGATATCTTTTTTATTGTTACATTCCAAAAATATAGAGTTTAAATCCTTAATTAATACATTCCATAATTGGTTATTCTAAGCATTTATGCTCTTTAACATTTAAGATATAAATTCACTGCTTAAATTAGTTTATGTTTTCTTAATTTAGTGATCTTATATAGTTATAATATTTTCAAAATATTATAAAAATCAAAAATAAACTCAAGTTGTTGCTTTGTCTACAAAAAAAAAATTCTCAATTTAAATAAAAGTGTAACATTTCAACAGCCCATGAAACCTGTTAGGTATAAAAGTTATTTCCAGCCTGCCCCTTACCCAGTTGATGGTATAGTAAAAATTTCCTTAAGCTAAACTTTCCTTAAACTAGTAAAATCACTTTATATTTGTTCTTCATTACTCTACTTTTGCACTTGTTTCATATTACTTAGAATATTCAAAGGTTTTATATAGGTTTTCCATTTAATTTTTAAACAGTTTTTTAGGAAACAAAAGGACATGGCAGACATAGCATAGTTGAAAATTTATTGTTCACTCTTTTTCTTCTTGGAAAACCCTAAGGAACTAAATAAAGAATATAATGTCAAAAAATATAATAGGCCTAACACTAATATCTGAGGCAAGTATAAATAATTATAATCATGCTCTACCAGTTTAGAAATAATACCATAACAATTATTATTGTAACCACTACAACAGTGATTGTGTCTATAATATAACAAGTTTTTTGTTGTTTTTTTAATTCTTCATGCTTTTTCAACTGGTTATACCATATAATATTACATGCCCTTTAATATAACACTAAGAATGTCCTTTATATTTTAATATTTATTTAGAATTTATTAGTGCATGCTATTTTCATTTTTTTTTCCTTTATGTATCTTTGTATTTGTTTTGTTTTGTGTGTACATTTATTTGCTGTAAGTCGATCATTTTAACAAAGAGTGTCATTGGCAATATATATGGTGGACATAATGTGGTTGAACTGCTATTATATACCCTTCTTATTCTTCTTGAAAAACCACAAGAGTTGAATAAAAAATCTAGTGTTAAAAAATGTAATATGATAAGTATAATTAAACAAAATATTATTTTTAATTCCAATTAAATAATATTACATAAATCAAATTACATAGTAAAATTATCAAAAAGTGTTTGTAATTCTTTGTTAAATTACCTTTTTTTATCAACAAATTAAGGTACATATTTATATACATTTATATATATGTGTGTGTGTGCTGTGTTGAGATTTTTTCTACTTAGCTGATTATATCTAACATGTGTCTTATACATCAGTATTTTTTGTAACTATTGGTATCCATGTAACCTTAGGATTACAACTGAAGATGATGGTAAAGAGAAGAAGAAAAAAGATGGAACACAAGATAAGGGTTGTGAAAGCAGCGATGCACCAAAATTTACATCTGGTTATAAACAGTTAGATCTTGCAATAACAGAAAGTTTAAAGCAGTGCCAAATGTTAATTGAAGTGAGTGTTCTTATCAAACAACTTGTTTTAAAACAGCTATTTTGATGAGCTCCTTATGCATATTGACATACAGTGTTCACATAATATTTGGTCCCAAAACATTTGTTAACTTGATTCTAAAACATTAATAATTTGTAGTTAAAGTTTTAAATGTATGGCTGCTTCTAAATTATTTTATTATGATAATTCAGTGTTCATAATTAATGTTCAGAAGGGAAAAAAGTCACTTGAATCCTAAAACTTCCAATATTTCATGATTTATAATATTCAAATGTAATACAAGCATGGGATGGAACTGGCTTATTGTGTTTGATTAATTTGTTGGCTACAGTTAGTGACAATAAACTCAAATTAAATTGATGTTGGTACATTTTAGTTCAGTTTCAAATTTTAAATGTGTTTCTTGTTAATACACATAAAACTTTCATATATTTATTTGTTGAATTTACAAGATACAGAATAATAATCCTTTAACTTTTTTTGTATGTATTACCAATATTTTTACACCAAAACAGCATATAGTTTCAATATATATCCTGTCACTATTTGATTATATGTTTGCTATGAGTGACACAACAAATGTTTTTCCCAAGACAGTGCCTTGTTTAAAAGTTTAGTATGTTATAAAGCTAAACGATATGTAACAATTAAGAAAATATGGCATGTGATATAGTTTCTGCTGTTGTTGAGAAGTTAACAGAATGAAATGAGCCATCAGCACACCAGACAAGTTCATCATGCTGTTCAAAATGTTTTAATTGTATCTGTACATATGTACTTTAAGATAGTGATGAAGTAATTAATGTAACAAATACGAAAGAAATTCTGAAGTAATGATAATACAGTAGATGTGCTTGTCCATTGCATGCATTTTTTGTAGTAAATAATCTGTTTGTCACACTGTATTTATAGTAATATGCCTAAGCTTAGTCCTTTGCTCACATTTAACAAGAGTTCAGCATATTATAATAAAATTATTTTTAATATGCAAATCAGCAAGTCATGTGACAACCACAGCCTACATAAAGTTATTGTGGAACAGAATGTATCAAAATTATACTGTGACATTGCTTGGTATTTCATAGTTAATGTGATGCCACCAAAAAGTGATCACTTTTGATAAGGGTATTTAACAATCCTTTCCAATGCAGAATATTCATAAATATGTGTTCAGATTGTGGACTTATAATTTCCAAGGCAGAGTTATCCATTGTACTGAATAGCATTAGAAAACAAAGAAACATGGATCAACTTGGGTTAACAGGACTATCCAGAAAGTCAACAGTGATCTGGTATTTTTCTTAGACATTCAAAGTAGCAAAATCTACCCTAGACAACACTAACCCACATAATCCAAAAGGATCTTTATCTGAAAATGATCCCAGTAAGGTATGGATGTGAGAAGATAAGGCTTCCAGTCACACCACCTGTTCAACCATTGCATACATCAAGCAAGTGGAGAAGGAAATGAGCATTCGTGCTATTCCATACGAAGACATATCAATCAAGTTGTCAGATGCAACACCTCTGAATTTTTGATATCGGATTATTGAAACGATGCTGGGAAACCCTTGTTCTCATATTTTAGATAAAGTATGATGTGCTTTCGACATTACAGCCTTATGATGAGCCTTACATAATGGAATCTATACTGCAAGACTGTTGTGAAGATGCACTGCCATCACATATAGCATGATGAACTTCAAAATATTTTAATTTAATGTACTCAACCTCTTAGTTATGACAAGACTACTAGCTCTAACAATTAAGGCAGAAATATTTTTGTTAAGTAAGGCCAATGGCACCTCTGAGTTAATATATGCAAAAAAGTGTAAGGTGGCCAGCCATGTTATCTGATTCATAGATTTCAGTGATAGATATGGAAATCAAGGAAATACACAGTGTTCTTATTTTTCTAACAAGCAGTTTGGGCAACAACAGTTTGTAGAAAGAAATCTAGATTGACAGTGAAACATACAAGGAGTACTAACATAGAGACTTGTACATTTTAATGATGTGGAAAGCAATAAATCAGCTGGATTATGATTAAGTACAACAAATAATTGGAAAGTGGCTACATGTCTCTTAAAGTTTGATTAGCACAGATCTCTACAAATATTTTCAGATCTAGGAGCCAGCCCCAAAACTCAGTAGCCAGGTGTGTCTAACCTAACTTCACTCCTGTTTGTACCTGAAATGGGGGTTACACTAATACCCCAGTTATCCTTGTCTCCATTGTCTGCAATCCTCGATTATTTGCAGTTTGTTTTTTTCCCCCAATTTTTTTCAAAATAATTGTGCCGTTACAATTCCAGACAACAACTTACATGTTTTGGAGAAATTAATTTTTGTTGCAAAAGTTCAGGTGTTGCATAATATACAGGGATTTCACATGCAGTATGTTCAAATCTTAAGTCAGCCAGTTCAAGCCTAGCCTTGCCTCTTTTATTTTTAGCTCTTAAGAATACAAAATATCTGTTGTTGGTTAATTTTATTTGACTAGTGATTAAAAACATAGTATACAAAATACACATTAAGATTCCTTAAAGATTTCACTCAACTTCAGTTGTTGTCTGCTGTTCTATGCTGCACGGCAGGCATTCTTGAACCACAGATGCATGTTCAGGTTATGTTGGGGTGTTGCCGAGATACGCATTGTCCTCTTCCCTACAGATAATTGGTATCTTCAGTCTGTTTTAATAAAGAATTTTTCATAATAATTCTAAAGCATAGATTTTTGCTCATATTTGGCTTATTTTTCAAAGGTGTTGATATGGTGCGAATACACAGAAAAAGTACAGAAATTTAGGAACTATTTATGCCTATGTTAGCGATTAAATTCGACTAAAATGAGAATGGGCAATGAAAAGAAAATGTATTGTAGGAGGAAAAGTGGAATTGGACTCATGTGACTCACAAATTTCGCGGGGAAATCGAGCATGACCGACTAACACTTGGCTTTCATGATTATGATTGTGAAAACATATATAATTGTTCATGATAATGTTATTAAATGACAGTAAAAAGATTATAATTTAAAACAAGGAGCTTAAATATATTGAAAATTTTTATTTAGGTTAAACAATGAGCTAACTAGTGAGATACACTAAACCCTCAGTTATCTGCTGTTTCTGTTATCCATGATTTTTTGCTTTCCCCAGATCTGCACAGATAATCGAGGCACCAATGTATGTTTATTTACTTTCACACCAACAAGTACATGCTAATGATGACATGATATCACAAACCACTTGATAGCATTGCCTGAATTAACTGCCTTTGGTTCCATATGAGTCCAAACACGCACACTGACTGGTTTAAATGAGAGAAAGAAGAAAAACAAAATGGAGTGCAATTATTAACATGTTGTACAACCACAGTACTTCATTCCTGAAAAAACATGAAGAAGTGCAGAATCTGCTATTAAAATCCTAGAAAGAAAGTTTGACTTAGGACTCAAAGAAAACAAAAATAGTTCCGGACTTACAAGAGACCAGAACTGTTCTATATTCAAGTTCTATTTAGCACAGTCTTATGCAAGAACAAAATGGCAGAAATACTAGGTACCACAGTGAAATTTTTAGTTGCCATGGTGACCTGGCACCCAGGATTTATGAAGGTCTGGATTAACAGTATGTAGACTTGCTTTTAAATCACTCAATAACATTAATCAGAGAGTTGGACTATTTTGATAACCCTGAGGAAAGATAATTATTTGAAAATATGAGCTTGAAAGAACCTGTGAGTCTCATCTTCCCAATTGATTCAATAGTTCAGAGCAGCAACTTATGAGATGTCTATAAACTGTCAGAACCAGGTTTCACTAAGGTTGCCATTTGTGCCAGATGACCAATGGTGTATGTTCCTTTCACCCATAATTGCAAAACTGCACACCTTTACTGATTTTAAGGACATGTGGATTGATCGAATGACAAGTGGTAAATGTTCTGTTCACAAATGAATCCAATGCAGCCAGGTATAAGATTTGTTCTCATTTGGAGAGTGGCTGCAACTAGATATATTCCCAATTTCATGGAGGAGAGACATGCACATGGCAGTGGGGATATATTGATCCAACCAGGGTTCGGTACTGGTGGCCACAATAGCTTTTATATGTTACTAGCTGAGTTACCCAGCATTGCACAGTGAAAACTTAGATTTGAAATGTATAGATGAGTATTTTTTTCAGCAAATTATTCAGAAGTAGACAAAAGCTGTGATGTGAGAAATAAAAAAGCATTTAATCAAACAAAGCTTTATTTGAAATTAGATCGTGTTTGAGCTTGTCTTGTTTTTTGAGCCTGAAGTCGTACATCATGTTGCTCTTCTGTTTCTTGCTCTTTGTAAGTTATTTGTATTAATTTTTGTACTTGAAGTCTGATTTGATGTTGTTCAGAAGTTTCTTGTTGTCTATATCCAGCTTGCCTTGATGATTCTGACTGAACTCTGGCTTTGTGCTGTTCAACAGTTTCTTGCTGTCTTTGAGTAGCCTGCCTTTCAGCTTGAGCTCGAAGTCTAACTTTACATTGTTCCAAATTCTCTTTCTGTATTTGAGCAGCCTGTCTTGCAGCTTATACTTGAAGTCTTTGATTGCATCCTTCTTCTGTTTCAGCTGCTCTTTGTGCTTGCATTCTTTTAGCGGCAGAAGACTTTCCATAGAAAGGACATTTCTTGGGTGGCATAATCACCTCTATCACTAAACAATAATTTGCAATTCACAAAGTTAATAAATCACTTAGCACTATTTAAACAAAACTGTTTTTGGAAATACTGAATTGACAGCAAGGTGGTCTGAGTGTCTCCCGCCATAATGCTTTCTATGTGCAAAACGTGCTTATGTTTGTATGTTTATTACAAAAAAAAGCACAGTAATCATTAATTGTCAATTTTGTCATTAAATACTACACCAAATACAAAATAAATAGCACCATAAAATTTCTTGTAAAAAAAACTGGTTATTATGAAGTTATTTTAAAATTTGTAAGTTCAACCGTTTGGTTTCCTATTGCGAACAAAATAAACAAACTTCCTCTTTTATATATATAGATAGATAGACTCTTCAAGATCTTGTTTTTGTCATCTTATGCCTTTTAATGAAGATGGGAACATTGACAGGGAAATAATATAATAGCCAATGCTTGGCGAGAGGTTTTTGTTTATAAAAATTTGTTGTTGTTCTCGACTTGATTTTTATTTTGTTACCTCGTCTCCATAGTTACTATTTGCAAACAGTCAAGAATATTGTAGGTCCATTTTATTATTATTTTTTCTACGCGCCATTATATCACATTTTCATCTCATCATTTAATTTCTGTTGTGCATATATTGTTGTATGTTTATTACAAAGATGGCGCAATAATCATTAATTGTCAATTTCGTCAATAAATTCTACACCAAATACAAAATAAGTAACACCGTTAAATTTCTTGTAAAAAACTGATTATTATGAAGTTATTTTAAAATTTGCAAGTTCAACCATTTGGTTTCCTAGAGCAAACAAAATAAACAAACTTCCTCTTTTATATATATAGATGACACAAAACTGTGAATTCCATATAATATTGGAAAACAATATTAATATAAATGTTCTCCTATTGAGAACTGTTCTCAACTGGTTATAAACTCCCTCTAAGAAGAGGATTTCAAGTAGATTGACTGCCCAGCACACTTACTATATTTGAATTTGACTGAACACTTATTATATGCTTTGTAAAACACTTGGCAGCAGGTGATTTACCTCTAACCAGTATTGAGGACAGCAAACATTTCTGATGGTGGACGGGGCCATATTACTCCAAGTATTCATAGATTCACTCATTATAAGAATGTCACATGATGAATGACTAGCATCAAGTTTCTGCAGGGGTTATACACCTTATAGACAGTGTTTTCTGGTCATTTATTGGAAAGTAAAATCTGTAGTACCACTTTAGCATTTGTGAAAAAGGACTCCAGTAGTATATATTTGCATATCAGACCACATTAGTCACCTAACATTTGTTTTACATACAAATTAATTTTTTACTTGTTTTTAACCTTATTCACTAACAGTTATTATTATGTTTTGTACTATACATACTATGGAAAACTTCAATTATGCTTTAATTACTTTCAGTAGTGATTTCTATAGTAAAAATTGTCTTAAAGCTCTTTAACACCAGTGGTAATGCATTTCACTTTGTAACTTATATTGAGATATAATTAACCTCATAATGAATTTTTAAACATTATATAAATTGGGCTAATAAAATGTGATAGTTTTTACTTTGTCATCAAGGTTGTTTAATAGTGACTGATGTGGAAGAGTTTTGTTTTTATAACTCGTAGTGTGTAAAAAAACATTACTTATTGAGAAACATGGAAGTGGCTTAACTCCTATCAAACATACAGGTATCTGTAAATCTAGATTTATCATTTTTCTTTTAAACTTTTATTTTAATTTAACTTTTTTAAAGAATGACAAATGTATACAGTGGACTATATATACACAAGTATCAACTTGTTTTGAAGAATTTAGGATCATTTGGACCTCTGAAGAACACACGTGAATTATCTCTTGATAAGCTGAAAAAACAGACTGAAGTTATTGACTGGATAGTCAGACTGGGTCATTCTGCTAAACTTGCAGGGACAACTCCTAGTGGTAGGTTTTATGGTTGTTAATTTGGTTTTTGGAATGTGAATGTGGGTCCATATGTAAACTCTCAAACTCTTTTGAAGTTATAAGGATAATCAACATACAATAGTTTTTAAAATGCAGTGTTTTGAAACAAACATTGTGGTATCTATCTGTAAAATATTTCTTTGTATAACATATTAATATCTTAACACAGATATTCCTTGATTTATTATTTCCAAACAGTGATCAATAAACATATTGTTTGAAAAATGGCATTTTTTTTTAATTAAGTTCTTTCATTTTAGCATAGTTATTTTATATTTTTCTCTGAACATTGATCTTCAAGGTGTGGCTGGAAGACCAGAGGTAACTTAGCTCAATTATTTTCTTATAGTTTATATTGAATAGGTAATTGTTAACAAAACTTTATTTAATACTTATGGGAGATCTTTTCAAGTGAATAAAACAAAAATGCATTCATTATAATGGAAAACAATTACATATAAAAGGTTCCATATTAATCTGTTTGTTATAGTGTAAAACTTTAAAGCTGTGCCATGCTTTAAACATTTGGGAATGTTGTTTTGAAAGAAGTTATAATGGTTTAAACAAAATGCCACTACAACCAAGGTTAAACAGAAACAATGTATTAAAATAAAACAACTAGAATACTGTCAGGGTTTTATGTATATGAGTGGGCTGAGATTCTTCTACAGTAGGTGTTTGTGACTTGTCTGTGAAAAATTTGAACAATAAACAGGCATCACACAATCCACTTGTTTTAAAATAATATGTTCAAAATAAGTCAAATGTATGTACAAAAATTCTTTATACTATAGGATATCACAGTTTTATCTAAAACTCTAAATAATTCTCCTTTTTTTTGTCAAAGCCCTCACAGATGAGTTCAATTACTTTAGAACACCCTTTGACAAGGCAAATTATTCTCCTTATCTGTATTAAACTGTGAACTCACTTTAAAATATCACCCATTATGGTTAATCACTCACACGCTGGCTAATTTCACGTTTTCTAACTTTTTACTGACTGAACTTTACTTGACTTTTTCCCTACTTCTTTAGTTCTCCCCTTCTTGACTTGTACCCTGGAGCCACCTATATAAATATCTTATTCACTGAGGCCTGGAACTTTCTGTAAAGTGCACAACTGGTGCTGATTTAATAACAATCAGTTAAGGTAATGAGAAAAATACTGAAGAATCGAGTAACGTGACATCAACAATATTAATAAAGCCTTGACAACAATGTAAATGCAAACACAACTTATGACTCGTACAGAGTTACATAACAAAAATTTGTTATAACTAACACTTTTAAAACAATCAATCTTCCACGCTGCTGTCATGAAACTAAATGATCATTAAATATTAAGTCACAAAATAAACTAAATAATAGCATTTACACTAAACAGTCTTTTATATCCAACAATAAGCCTCTCTTCAAGAAAAATATTTACAATATTTTTTCTACACTATATACAAAGACTGTTCTTAGTCTATATACTAAGTCTTCTCCAACATTTGCAGTTCCTTTGTTGGTCTCTTCTCTTGTAGAACCTCCAGTAGGTCTTCACCTTGACAGGATCCTTTGTCTTGATCTTGTGTTTCCTGAGATCTGTCTTTCCTAATCTATCTGTATGCTGGCACAGTAGGTCTCGTACCTCTTTCTTCTTTTTACCAGTCAGTCCTTCACTTATGTTGATGTCCTTGTACATCCCATCTCCACCCAGTGGTATTAGGCCTAGTAGATTATTATATCCTATGACGAGTTACTGTCTTCATATTCTGTTTCTGTGACAGCCACACCTGCCATGTCCACATGTACATCAGTAGCTGCACTTTTAAGGTCTTCTTCTCTTTTGAAGCACCCCTTCAACAGATTGGCATGGTAGACCTTGGTTATCCCATCCACTTTCACCTTATAGTGCATTCTGTTGAGAACTTCCTGTACTTCAAATGGTCCTTTCCACTGCCAGGTACATTTGTTGTTGGCTGTGGGTAGTAGAACTAAGACCTTCTGTCCGACCTTGAAATGTCGACCCTTGGCCTTCTTGTTATAGAAGTGTTTCTGACTGTCTTTGGGTTTGCTTCCCCCAGTAGAAATACTTTGATAGGTCCAGCTCAATACTCCTTTCTAGTACTCTGTTTTGTCAGTCTCTTTCCTCTTTGTCTTGTGCTCGACTTTCTCTTGGGCACTCTCCCAAAGTTTTTGCAGAGAAGGGTTTTTCTTCTGCACTTCCTTCAGCTTCCATGAATCTACATTCAGGATGTCACTTTTGGAGACTTTAAGAGGTTTCACATCCTTCTTGCTCTTCTTCCCTTGAGCTCTTGTGGTGACTGCAGATGCCACATCAGTCTTCTTTCTGTCTAGTTCCTCAATGTTTCTACAACCTGGTATGTTTCCAATCACCAAGTCGTATATTGGTGCCTTCATACACATGGCCTCAAGGTCTCCTACATAGTATGGAGTATCCACCTATATTTTAGCACACACAGGTGTACCTTGCCTGTCATCTAGTCATTTGGTCATCACATACTAGACAGGTTCTCAGTGCTGCATTACTGCACCCAGTGTCTTGTAGAACCTTCACGTTCTTGACCCCAACATAGCCTTCACATATGGGCATATTATGATTTGTTGGCACCTCTTGATATTTGTAACTTGCTCCAATCACTACTGGCACTGTTGATCCATTTTCTCACTTCAGCCAACCATTAGTCATGCGCTGATCAATCATGGAAATGGCACATCCTTCTTGTGCTGAATCTGATGAGTTGTCTGGATTCTGTTTATTCTGGCTGTAGCATCCATGGTGACAGTCATTTTTTTTCTTGTTTCTTGCCAACATCATCATTGAAAATAGTTCCATTTGCTTTATGTTGAGGTTTCTGTTGTTGGTGATGAACTTGCACTCCTTTGCAATGTGCCCTATTCTATAACAAATATAGCATTATTTCTATCTTCTGTCTGTTAACTTCCTGTCACCTTTGGTAGACTCCTGCTCCTGGTCAACCATCAAACATCAGTTTTGACATTAACTGGAATTCTTCAACTTGCCCATTATACTCCCTCCATGGGCTTCCATATACTGTTCTGCCACCTTGATCATCTCCTCCACGTCTTTTGGTGGTCTCTCCTTTCAGAACAGTGACATATCTGTTGAACACATGCTCCTGAACTGTTCACGTATTAGTAGATTTGCCAGTCCCTCAAAACTATTTTCACAAGTACAAATCTTATTACTTTCAAAAAAGTTAGAAAGAGTACTATTACAGTAAAAAGTAGTGAATTTATTTATAATGAGTCTATTCTGTTGAGCAACAGATTTCAGCCCTTGGCTTTTGCAGATGAGGAAGTACTGGAGGGAAGGAAAACAAAAGGGTCAGAGAAGGATGTGGATGATAAAGAGGTTGTAGTTGAAGGTGGTTCCTTGGCAAGGCATGTGGAGAGAATAGTCTGTGGGATATATATGGAGGGAAGAATTAGATTAAGCTACCCAGGGGCACTGGTGGAGGATATAACTGACAAAGCAGGAGATATAATAAAGAAGGCTAGCAGAAGTGCAGTTTTTGTGGTGCATGTAGAGGCTAATGATGTAGGGAAAGGTAGGTCAGAGAAGCTAATTAATAATGTTATGACAGCGGAAGTCACCTGACACTGGTAACATGTAATGAGTATCTAGAAGGCTCCTGAAGGCTCAAGGCCAGAAAAGGACAGCTTTCAGAGAGGTTTGAGGGACTTTGCTGGCACTGTAACAAACCTGGGCACAAGAGAGCTCAATGCTGGAAACTTCAACACAGGGAAGATGCCATGACAGGAAAGGCTGCTATCCAGAAAGGTTGTTGGAACTGTGGAAAGCACAGACATATGAAGAGCCAGTGTAAGAAGAATATTACCAATAAGTCAGCCTCAAGGAGACCAGTAGTGGTTGGTGTTAGGGACACTCACCAACCTCCATCATGAAAGTCCCAACAGCTAGGTGTAGAATGCCAAGCACACACAGTGTCTATGTGACAGGAAAGCTGGATGGCCAAAGGTGCAACTTTGTCATAGATTTTGTGTCTCAGCAAACCCTTGTGAGCATCAAGGTGTTAGATCACGAAGGAGTACCAGAAGCCATAGAGAAGCTTTATGGTGTGACAGGACATTCTGCAAGGTTATGGGGACCAGTGTGGGTAACTATTGAGCTCATGGGCATAAAGGACAGACACAAAGTATACTTGGCTGACATTGAAGACGAATGCATATTAGTGTTGGACTACTTACTACCGAGGAAGTTTGTAATTAATTTTAATAAAATGACGTTTGGGAACAACAAAGGCCAAGTTCCGGTAATTGTTAAAAGAGAGACGTTGAACTAATTAGGTGCCATCAAGCTGAAGTCAA